TTCCCACCCAGCTCCTGGAACATAATTCCTGCCTTCCAGTTTGTTATTCCCAGCTCCAGGATGGGCATTCCCAGCTGCCAGTGGCACCCACAACTGGAAAAATCCCCTGGTTATTCCTTTTTTTGGGGAATAATGAAATTGGGAGAGCCATCCGAGTTTTCCTTAGGGATGAGATTCAGTGTYGGCAAAGTGGGGGAGCAGGAATGGGGTAATGCAGGGTTTGGGGAGTGGATTCAGCAGAGCTTCCCRCTGAGCCAGGCTGGAATCCACGTGGGAATGAATCCTGCAAATCCTGGAATCCCGTGGGGCTGCCTGTCCCCTCTGGGTGCCTTCAGGGCACCCTTTCCATGGGGTTACCAACATTGCCAGTAGCTGCCATTGCTCTGCTGGACTCCAGCTCCCCCTGGATGGCTCTGGTTGCCTYCAGCTGGGTGGCTTTTGGGATGATWTGTTGATTCCAGTTGAGCTGGCTGGCTCTGGACAGCCCTTGATGGCTCCAGTTGGCTCCTTGTGGCCCCAGACTGCTCCTCATAGCCCTGGTTGGCTCTGCACAGCCCCAGTTGGCTCCTAATGGCCCTGGTCWGCTCCTCATGGCCCCRGTCAGCTCCACGTGGCCCTGGTTGACTCCTCATGGCCCCCATTAGCCCCAGTTGGCTCCTTGTAGCCCTGGTCAGCTCCACATGGCCCTGGTTGGCTTTGGTTGGCTCCTCATGGCCCTGGTTGGCTCTGCACGGCCCCAGTTGTCTCTGCACAGCCCTGGTTGGTTCCTCAGGGCCCTGGTCAGCTCCACGTGGCCCCGCTTGGCTTTGGTTGGCTCCTCATGGCCCTGGATGGCCCTAGGTGGCTCCTCATGGCCCCAGTTGGCTCCACGTAGCCCTGGTTGGCTCCTCATGGCCCCCGTTAGCCCAGGTTGGCTCTACATGGCCCCAGTTGGCTCCTCACAGCCCCGGTCAGCTCTGTATGGCCCCCGTTAGCCCCAGTTGGTTCTGCATGGCCCCAGTTGGCTCCTCATAGCACCAGTCAGCTCCACATGGCCTCGGTTGGCTCCTCATGGCTCCTGTTGGCTCTGCATGGCCCTGGATGGTCCTGGTTGGCTTCTCATGGCCCCAGTTGGCTCCTCATGGCCCCAGTCAGCTCCATGTGTCCCCGGTTGGCTCTGCACGGCCCCAGTTGGCTCTGCATGGCCCCGGTTGGTTCCTCATGGCCCCAGTCAACTCCACGTGGCCCCGGTTGGCTTCGGTTGGCTCCTCATAGCCCTGGTTGACTCCTCATGGCCCTTGTTAGCCCCGGTTGGCTCTACGTGGCCCCAGTTGGCCCTAGTTGGCTCCTCACAGCCCCGGTTGGCTCTGCATGGCCCCGGTTGGCTCTACATGTCCCCCGTTAGCCCCAGTTAGCTCTGCACGGCCCCGGTTGGCTCTGGCCTGGGGTCTGTGCCCACGTCCCGCGTTTCTCYGCAGTCTCCACCACGTGGCATAGCAATGATGACGACGTTTACCGGGCACCTCCGATTGACCGCTCCATCCTTCCCACGGCCCCGCGCGCCGCCCGTGAGCCCAACATCGACAGAAGCCGCCTTCCCAAATCCCCCCCGTACACGGCATTCCTGGGAAACCTGCCCTACGACGTCACGGAAGAGTCCATCAAGGATTTCTTCCGAGGGCTCAATGTGAGTGATGTTCCAGAAGGTGGGAATGCCACGGGAACCTGGGATGGGAACCTGGGATGGGAACTTGGGATGGGAACCCGAGATGGAAACCTGGGATGGGAACACAGAACGGAAACCTGGGATGAGAACATGAGATGGGAACCTGGAACGGGAACTCGGGATGAGAACCCAAGATAGGAACTCGGGATGGGAACTCAGAATAGGAATCCGGGATGGGAACCCGGGATGGGAACTCGGGATGGGAACCTGGGATGGGAACACCAGTTGGGAACACAGAATGGGAACCTGGGATGAGAACGCGAGATGGGAACCCGGGATGGGAGCACGGGATGTGAACTCAGAATGGGAACCCGGGATGGGAACCCAGGATGGGAACCTGGGATGGGAACACCGGATGGGAACTCGGGATGGGAACTCAGAATGGGAACCTGGGATGGGAACCTGGAACGGGAACTCGAGATGAGAACCCAGGATGAGAACTTGGAATGGGAACACAGAACAGGAGCCTGGGATGGGAACATAGAATGGGAACTCGGGATGGGAACCCGGGATAGGAACACTGGATGGAAACACAGAACAGGAACCTGGGATGAGAACGCGAGGTGGGAACCTGGGATGGGAACACAGAATTGGAACCTGGGGTGGGAACTCGGGATGACAACCCGAGATGGGAACCTGGGATAGGAGCACAGAATGGGAACCTGGGATGAGACCGTGAGATGGGAACCCGGGATGGGAACCTGGGATGGGAACACAGGATGGGAACCTGGGATGAGAACCCGAGATGGGAACCTGGGATGGGAACCCTGGATGAGAATGCGAGATGGGAACTCGGGATGGGAACACCGAATGGGAACTCAGGATGATAACCCGAGATGGGAACCTGGAATGGGAACACCAGATGAGAACACAGAACGGGAACCTGGGCTGGGAACTCGGGATGATAACCCAGGATGGGAACCTGGAATGGGAACTCAGAACAGGAGTCTGGAATGGGAACCTGGAATGGGAACTCAGAACAGGAGTCTGGGATGGGAACCTGGAATGGGAACTCAGAACAGGAGCCTGCGATGGGAACCTGGGATGGGAACACCAGATGAGAACACAGAACGGGAACCTGGGCTGGGAACTCGGGATGAGAACCTGGGATGGGAACCTGGAATGGGAACTCAGAACAGGAGCCTGGGATGGGAATCTGGAATGGGAACACAGAATGGGAACCCAGGATGGGAACCTGGGACGGGAACTCGGGATGAGAACCTGGGATGGGAACCTGGAATGGGAACTCAGAGCAGGAGCCTGGGGTGGGAACCCGGGACGTGTCTCAGTCTCTCTATGGGGTGCCCACATCCATTGCCATGGGGCATGTGTGTGTGTCCGTGGGTTGATCCTGAAGGAATCCCTTGATTCCCCAGCCCTGGATCAGCCATTCCTGCTGCTCCAGTGGGATTGAGGAGCCTCCCATGTGGGTTTTCCCCCACATGGAATCAGGTGGAGGTTAAACTGGAAGGAGCAGGGCAGCTGGCTCACTCCCACATGGGAGAAAAGCAGAATTGGGAACTCATGGGTCACATAAAGGTGTTGAAAACCGCAGGGAAATCAGTCCCAAATTGGGGAAAGCTGAGTTTATTCCCATTTAAACCAATCCTGCTCTTCGCTCTCCAGCAGCGCCCCCAGCCTTGGCCTTCCTCATTCCTGTTCTCTTTTCCTTGGCATTTTCCATCCTTTAAATATAATTCCATGGGTGCATCGTGGATTCACCTTTGGTCCAAGCTGGATTTTGGCTTTCCAAGAGGTTTCCCAGGAAAATCCAAGGGATACCCTGGAGACCCCATGAACCCCTGGATGTAATTTAGGAATATCAGTGGCTCCTGACACTTCCTAGGGCTCTGAGCAGGAATGAGCCAGGAACTCCCACAYTTCAGGAGCTGAAATCCAGGGAAAGGAGGTTGTGGGAAGGTGACAGGGCCACCCTGTGTCCATGTGGGACTCATGCTGGACACATCCAGGGCTGGTTTTCCACTGGGATGAGCTCTGAGATGGCTTCCACTTCCCTGAGCCCAGGTCAGATCAGGCTTCCCATCATTCCCAGTTCAGCTGCTGGAGCTGGAATTCTGATCCCAGCCCCTCAATCCAAAGATGTTGGGAAGCTCTGCTGTGTSTGGGGTGGGACCCCCCTCTTCCCTCCCCATCCATGAGGACCCCTCTCAGTCCCKGGATATCCATGAGTGGCTCCATCCTGGATCTTCCCCTTTCCCCTTGGGAAGCCAAGATCCCAATGGGAGCTYCCCTTCCCTCCCTGCCTTCCCAGATCAGCGCCGTGCGGCTCCCACGGGAACCCACCAATCCCGAGAGGTTGAAAGGTTTCGGATACGCGGAATTCGAGGATATCGATTCCCTCTTCCAGGCCCTGAGCCTCAGCGAAGAGGTGAGTCCAGTCCCAGCTTCAGGGGCACATCCCTGGGCCTGAAGGGGCTCCAAGGASCTGGAGAAGGATTTGGACATGGCCAGGAGTGATGGGAGTGGGGCAAACGGCTTCTGGCTGGAAGAGGGAAGGGTCAGGTGGGATATGGGGAAGGTRTTCCCAGCCCAGCACTCACTTCCCGCTGTTGTTTCCAGTCTTTAGGAAACAGAAGGATACGAGTGGATGTGGCGGATCAAGCTCAGGATAAAGGTGAGTGTCCGGCTGTGGACACGGATTGGGCAGGGAGGGTATTCAAGGGAGAGTGGCCAAAGACTGGCCCTGACCCTTCCCCTGCCCCTGCCCTTTTTCCTTTTTATCCCTTTTCTCTTTTTATCCCTTTTCTCTTTTTATCCCTTTTCYCTTTCCCTCTTCTTTCCCTTTTCTTTCTTTGYCTCTTTCCCTCTCCTTTTCCCTTCTATCTCTTTCCCTCTCCCTCTCTTTTCTCTTTTTTTTCCTTCCTCTCCCTTACTCTCCATTTTGATTTCTTTCTTTTAATTTTCTTTTCCTTTGCCCTTCTTTTCCCTGTGCCATTTCTTTCCCCTTTCCTCCTTCTGCTTTTCTCTTTCCCTCTCTGTGTCCTTCCTTTCATTTTCCTTTCCCTCTCCGTGTCCCTGGCTCCCGGCAGACCGGGACGATCGCTGCTTCGGCAGAGACCGGGATCGCTTCCGAGACTCGGAGCGGTTTGAGAGCGACTGGCGCGCGCGTCCGGCCGCTTCCGACGCCTTCGACGACTTCCCCCCGCGCCGGAGCGACGATGGATTCGGGGACAGTGAGTGAAGGGAGTGGGCCCAGCATTCCAGGATCCCATTGTCCTGAGATCAGRGGCACCTGGTGCTGCTCTGGCTGGGATCAGGAGCCACCAGAGCTCATTCCCACCCTGAGTGCCTTCATTCCCACCTGGAGTTAATTTTTATTTCCAGARCTCGTTCTTACCCTGATCTTATTCATTCCCCACTTGAAACTCATTCCCCAGAGCTCATTTCTACCCAGAGCTCGTTTGTTCCCACAACC